TCACCGACGCTGCAGAAGAACCCCATGCTTGTTGGCATTTCGCAAGATCTGGGTCAATTCGAGCTACATGCTGGTCACAGCCTCGAAACAGCTTCCTGCTTGCAACGGGCCGTGCTTCCTGAGAAACGGACAGTGTCCAACGAAATGCAAAGACTCCCAGAAGTCTTAGTCACCATCTTGGAACGCACCTCAGTAAAAGTCAGGACTCTGTCCTACTCGTTCATACCCACGCATACATGCGACGAAAAGAGTCCGGTAGGCAACCTATGCTAAATGTGCCTGGTGTCTTTCAATTATTTTTATGAGTGTTGATGGCATCTCTAAAGCAGGCAAGGGGCTTCTGGGACCTTGTCGTTGAGGATGTCCGCACGTGGGGCAGGCAAAGAGCCAGGGTCGCTCCCGAGCACTCCACTCACTGCCCTCGCCTGCGCAGAGGGAGTAAGCAACTGCTTGTGGCCTCTCTTTCTTGCTCTTTCTATCTCTTTCTCATCCAGGCCCCCAGGCCTCCTCCATAACGGAGGTCTTCAGCGGCCGCCAGGTGCGACACGTGAGCTCCGCGTGCCCCGGCAGGCTCGGCAGCAGGCTCGAGCCGTAGGCCACGGTCCTTGGCTCTGCTCTGATGGACGGAATGTCGGTATTCACAGAGGTAAAGGGGCGGGAGGGGGGAGGGGGATGCGATGCTGATTCTAGCTGTAAGCAGGCTTCTCCACTCGACCGGCTGCATCCAGTTTGAAGACTTGCACATGCAGCTTTGGCCAACCAGCCAGCGAATCCGCTATGAAATGGAAATCGAGCGGATGGTTGAAGACATACCTCGGACCAACAAGGCACCGCACTTGCCAACAACTTCTTATCCGCATCGTCTACTACTACTACTACTACTACTACTACTACTACTACTACTACTACTACTACTACTACTACTACTACTACTACTACACTACTACTCCTCTCCAAGGCTAGTGTGATCGAATCAGTACGCACTTGTTCACTTCGGAATGCTCTGTCAAGTGTTACAGACACCATGGGATCGTGACGCAGAACAAGCAACAGGAACTCCGAGGTTTCTGGCCACTCCCCAAAGAGGGCTCGGATGGGAAGTTTAGGGCTGTCAGTCCCAGCCGCACTCCCTCTGCGTCAGCATAAGTTGTCTGGGTTTGGCCCACGAAACCCTCCTTTCTCGCGATCGGCAACCAATCGCTTCCAGCTTCTGCGGCATAGTCGATGAAAAGCCCATCATCCGATGAGAGTCCTTCGTGCACCAGTCACGACCGTCAGGACATGAGGCAGGTTGACCGCTATCTGAGGTCGCATCCTGGAAATTCGCAGCCAAACCTTTCTCAGATCGCTGATGCTTGCTTTGATAGAGATCGAGACTTGCTGCAGCGGCTCTTGCAGCCAGGCAACTCCAGCTCACCGATGAAATGCAGCTCGAACTCTTCACCCGGAGGGCAAGGTGGTGCAGAGGGTGGCGGAACTGCCATGAAACGAACAGCCTCCAAGAGTTCTTGCTCGTAAGTTTCGTGTATCTGGCCTACGGCAGTGGGCCATATGGATACATCCTGGCAGCTTCGTCAAATCATGCAGTTGAGTTAGATGGTATCCAGAACAGCCAGCAGCTGCACCAGCTTTACACTCTACAGTCACAGAAATCGTGACATCATGCCACTGGCTCACAGGAAACACGAGCTACAGTCGCTCACCAGCAAACACTTTTTGCTGCAATCCTCTGCGCGTTGCGCAAAACGAATTGCGACTAATTCAACTATCTCGTTTGTACATTGGCTGGGCAGGGAAGCATGCCTCAAGCCGGATCTACTCACCCTTGATGTGCCTGGGAAGAAAGCTTCAAGAATCGCATAGCAGAAGTTTTTACCTTCGGCTTGGCTCGTTATCAGCCATAATCAAGCGGACCCCATGCCTGCTGGTTGAGATTCGACGTGGCTGATGTCGCAGCTTGATTCGCAGCTGCAGCCGCTTGTGTCGCAATCCTTCTGGTCGCTTTCTACGAGAAACAAAGCAGTGTGAATGTGCCCGACAAACTGCGAATCTTGGAGAGCGGCGAGCTGGCAGTCTTGGAAGCTTTCATGAGGGTCCTTGCTTGGCTTTACCACAGCATCGACCCACAAGCTCAGGACACGTTTTCGCGCTGGAATGCCACGAAGAGGCTGCACCGCATCATTGGGAGTAAGACGGCTCAAGGCCACTTGGATCGCCTGTAGATCCTGGCTCCAGGAGAACTGGAGGCTGGGGGCAACAAAAACAAATGTGTGACAGCTTCGGCTACTCACCTTCCATCGCTGGATGCTCCAAGTCTGCACGTCTTCCCAGACGCTGGAGAGCACCTGCAGCTTATTCCGCTACGATGTCTTCAAAGGGCATCTCGACTCCACAAGACAAACTTCTGCCTTAACATCGTAGAGCTCCACCTTATTTAGAGAGGTCTGGCTGCAGGAAAGCTTACACGGAAGCTGATCTCTGCTGAGTCCTGTGCAGACTCTCTTTGAGCATGCTTGTTGGCTGTGTGATACAGTGCTCCTCCCTGGCACATCCGAGCTGCATTATCGTGTGCTACAGTACCGGCTAAAGCACGTCGGAGCGGCAGTCACTAAGAATAGCAGGATGTGGTGGGCCTGAGTCACTGGAATTGCAAGCAAACAAAGCACTGTGCACTATTCGAGGTTGAGCAAGCGAGACCCGGGCTAGTAGAAAGTAGCCACCTGTGCCGACCACAGGTGAAGCCAGCAGCTTTAAAGTGCCGCCTTCCACCTCCAGCACACAAAGACATTCAGCTGGTAATTTGGTGGGGTCGTCGAACATGGTCAACTCGAGCATCTTTGCAGTTTTTAAGTCACTCGCAGTTTGGTCTCAGCTTGAAATCGAAGGGCTTGTTACTCTACTAGCAATGAAGTCTCTGGATAGCAGGAACAACGACTGAGGACGCCTATGGACACGTGACCAGATAGTGACTTAAGCATGCGTGATGAAAGAGGGTAGAATGCAATGCTACAAGTTACTTTCGCTTCCTTTGGAAAGACAAAGGAGAAATGCCACCACATCTCTTGGCGGTACTCCCACTGGGAATAGGCAAGGCTCGACTCCGTTCAGAGTACAGAGGCACAGTCTGCACAGTGTCAGCTTTGGAAATCGGCGGCAGAGACGCTGCCGAGCACACTGAGCAACAGCAACTTGCCATTCATCCCAGAAACAGGGCTGGGGATTCGGGCTCACTCTTGGCCAAGCGTGCAATGCCTCCAGCGTGCGCACACACCGCGTGGCAGCCGTGCTCGGCAGCGAACGGAGCGGCAGCTGGCAGTCTCTCACCGGTGCTCAGGTGCAAACGGCCTACCGCACCATCCTGCGAGGCAAGGAGGAGCTCAGCACCAGATGGTGCAAAGGCCAAAGAGGCCGCAATGGCTCTCGTGCGGACTTCACCGGAAGGAAGCCAGGAATCGCTAGCTTCCCCGCTGTGAGCATAAATGGTGACTGTGGACTCGCCGGGGAAGGTGACTGCTGCACGGATGGAGAAGGCATCCTTCTTGAGACCTGGCTGTCGGGAAATCGCAACTGTCCCCCGGAGAGCACCATCCTGGATTGGCACATGGGCCAGGTTGGACTGGTGACAGTTCCAGATGCCCTGAGAAGGCTCGTCTGGACAGTTGAAAAGGGCACCCGTAGACGCCACCAGCAGGAGACCATGTTCATCCCAGTGGCCGGCAAGTAACGGTCCTTGTCCGTGCGCACCATGGAGTGCAAAGTCGCTCATCTCAGTCGCACGACCGTTCAAGATCGGGATCATGGACCCACGACCGTGGTGAGAAAGAGCCAGCATCTTGTGAGCGGTGGAGTGACCGCACAGTATCTTTGGCTGCAACATGGCAGGCCACTGCAACGGTGCCCGTTGCGGCTGCACGGCTGGCATCATGGACACATCCACCATGGAGGCAGCGGGGGCTGCACCACGGCTTGCCCGCTTCCCCTGAGCCAAGTCGGCTAGGTGAGGCAACGCACTCCGAATCTTCGCCACAAGTTCATCCCGTGGCACGGCAGCAAGGAGGTCAAGTGCCGACACGTCAGAGAGGCGGCGAGCATGGTCTTTGATGCCCACGGCTGGACCATGATGCGCCCCGCCAGTGCCCACCTCGGTTGGCTCGGAGTAGCCAAGCTTTGGAGGACGATAGCGCGGATCACGCAAGTTGTTGGGCAGGCCGAATGCATTCAGCATGGAGGGATGGTCGGTGTGTGCGTTCGCGATCTCGATGGTGAAGCCAACAACCAAGTAGACCCAAGCAATCAGCAGCCCTAGGAGACCAGTGCGAACATTGAACCAAGCAGGAGACTCCCCCTGCTTGCCCAGAGCCCGGTGCACATCACGTCTCTTCGCCTCGGAGGCATCGTAGGTAAGGCGGCCTTCTTGTCCGGCGCTCTGCACGCCACCCTCCGACGCCTTGCGCATCTCACCCACCAGGTCATTCTGGCCAGCCTCGAGGTGTCGGGGAGGAGCCACCAGCCAAACTGCATGCTTGAAAGCCTTCGGAAGCCGCCACTGCCCGGGCCACCAAGTTCCCGCAGGTACTTCGGCTTGGTCAGGTGCTGAGAAGTCCGGAGCGCAAATCCGGATCAGCTGCACCGTGTAGATCTCGGTACGTGCCGACATCTGATAATCTGAAACTGGACTTGCCCTACGTGTAACAAACAACAGAAGCAACTGGGCCACGGGCAATATGGAAGGCATAGGTAACATAGACGAGCACATACCCGATGACCGCCGTGCCTTCATCGTAGTAGGTCTTGTACTCGATGGCCAGGCCAACCCAAGCCACCAGCTGGGCCAGGGGGCCCAGCCGCTGCAGTGGGAAGTCCACCTGGCCCGGCATGATGTCCAGCGTAAGGAGGATGTGCTGCAGCACAGATGTAGAGATGCAGACCAAGCCAGCTGCAAAGACTGCCCGGTTCTCAGCGAAGAGGTGCCCCATGTGTTGGTATGTCCAGCAATGGAGCAGGTGCATGAAGGCGAGGAAAATGCTGATTCGCGCATACACATCATATGGCCACCACTCATTCTGGATCTCCCGGTAGACTTCGAAATGCTCTGGTGCTGTTCCCTGTGCAGCCAATGGCATCATGCTTTCGAAAGGCTCACCTTGGTCAATGGCAACCTCTTTGCGGTACCAAGCAGGCACATCCTGGCCGTGACGTGTGCGCTGTCGAGCATCGGGATCGATTTCGATGCCCTCGTTGTAGTCCTCCTCGTCGTCACCAGACCTGCGGTACTGATGCCGCAAGAAGGGAATTCGCAGCACCTCGCGCAGCGGCTGCTCCTCCCATGATCCCAAGAACTTTCGGGCACGATCCAGCATCCAGTTGGCTGGAATGGGAAGCCTCACGAAACGAGTGAGCATGTGGCAAGTTGCAGCATTTGCACGCAGGCAAGCATGCATGGCCAGCCACATGGTAAGACCGAGCCAAATGTAAGCACCACCAACATTCACCATCATGAGGCCCATGTACCATCCAGGTGGTGGAGGTGTGTGTAATCCAACTCGGCCAGGGCAAAAGATTGCCGTGAGAATGGTGGCTGTCATGCCGGCAATGTCTGCATACACGTGCATTCGATTTGTTGTAAGGGTTGTCAGATCTACCAAGTCTTCTTTGTACTGATCTGTCTGCGCACAGGCCATGCCGAAGCCAGCGTTGAATCGAGACCAATGAAGCCTGGGAAACAGTGCACACTGTCAGCACTGCTGCACCCGATCATGGCAAACAGGCAAACATGGGCGAATTGCATGGCCCAACTGAGGCGAACGCTTCTGATCCATCATGTAATTGCCACGATTGTAGCCGAAAAGGCCAACCCCAACGCCTCCCGCCGCGGCTGCTCCGGCAGCGGCATATCCTGCTGCTCCGAGCTCCATGTCTCCCTGAGAAAGACGGTACTCACTGCACTATCTCAAAATCTCCAGGCGTCGCTTGACTGCCTGAAATTTGCAGCCAAGCTGCTTGGCTTCTGAAGTTCTTGCAATGCTTGCCAGGTCAGTAGCCCTCAAGGCAACACGACTGCCTGGTGAAAGCAGGGACCGTTAGTCCGGTCCTTCTGTCTTGCTCGAGAGCAAAGACTGCGGAGACTTCCATTTCGGATGTGTGCACACAACACTGTATGCAGACAACACACTCTCGACCAAACTGCACCTTTGCACAATCCAACATTAACTTGCCCCTCACCTGCTGGTCATTCACTAAGATTCTCTGCTGCACAGCCTGCACGAGGAAACATGCAAAAAAAGCAACACGCACGATGCTCCGCGCCAGTGGCATAACGACCTGGCCTCAGCAAGCACCTGCTGAAAATCTGTGACAGCCTGCAGCAACACGATCTCTCGCTGATCATGCAGGAGATATCCCTCGGGGTCTCCGGACTCCGGCCTGTTCTTCGTCCGGTGCTGGCATTCGCCAGGGCTTTAGTCTTGGCGCAAGCGACAGACCGACAGACGTCCACGAAGGCACCCGGCTTGGGCCCCGGCTTGAGCTTAAACTCCTCCATGATTCTGGAGAGCAGCCCATCCTCACCCGAGACTTCACGAGGCGTCACGAGGCCCGCTCAAGACTCCAACGGTTTTTTGGGCCGGCGCCAAGTCTCGCGTCAGCTGCTGAGGGTCAAGAACCCTGGACTCTGGCGCTAACTTCTTCAGCGTCTCCCTGCGCAGAGATTCCCAGCACTGTGAGACTGCATGTAAGTGGTATTTCGAAGCGGCCTGAAGCGTTTGTGCAAGTCCTCTTTCACTGACACTGTCTCCACTTTCACGAAGGCCTCAGCAGTTGATGACATCCTGATGCCAACAAATCCTTGGCTTCCTGAGCCCAAGACTTCTCTCAGTCCGATTGCCATGTCCTGCGCATTTTCTTTGAACGCCTGACGTGGCCAGTGACGATGACAATACCGAAATACAAGCAGCTACCAAATCGTCGCTGGGTGCCTTGGCAAAGTTCATGACCTGAGATCCACAAGGTAGTGACAGCGATTATGGAGAGGCCGGTCTCAGACTGATCATGCGGCTGATCTCAGGCGACAGCAACCTGCTGGAAACCTGTCGTGGTGATCTCGCAGCCCAAAGGAGCCTCGCAATTGGACGCTGCAAATTCCTGCAGCAGCTCATAGTCTGGGCTCCGTGCTGACGGCTGAGGAAACTTCCCACCACCGAAGAAGTCTTCACTGAACTTGTCCTGAGGCTGAAAATGCAGGAAAACTCGAATGTAGCTCCTCGTCACGCAGCAAGGGGTCCAACAAGTACAGGAAGTCAGTGTCGATGGACTCTATCTCTCCAGTGTATGTGGGCCTGGCGAGACGGGGCTCAACAAACTCTCGACAAGCCCAGCGGGCCTAGCTTTGTTCTGGGGAGCGGGCTTTGTAACTTTCAGGCCGGGATGAGGCAGACCCCAGGCTGCTATACCTAAGCAACGCAACCAAGAATTTTTACTCCAAGCGGTACACCAGTCATTGGGGCAAAACAGCCACATTCTGCTCCGCTGGTTTTGCTCTCTCTTGTTTTTGATGGCCCGCAGCCGGGGCCCACACTGCGGAACGTGGACTTGAGTCGCTCTACCTTGGAAGCTACGACCACAGCTTGGAAACCGAGTGGCACTTGGCCGCGGACCCGCGGCTTGGCATCCTGTTCGGGCATAGGAAGACGCACACCCAAACGCGCGCCCCTAATCCCACCCTTGACAAGAAAGCCGCCTCTGGAACCTTCTTCTCACTAAGATGATCATCCAGATGTTCTCGCATCTGTTCCTTTGGCACGCGGTCGAACACAATAAAATCGACCGAAAGAACGGTGACAAGTCGAATGACCAACCTTGCATTCACCAATGTTGAATCCATCCTGCGCGCAGAGTGACAATGCCCCAATGCAGTGTCTCCATCGTGAGGTCACCTCGTAGTTCACCCAATCTCGCACCAACAGCTCCAGGTGCCCAAACCTCTGACAGGCGTTGAGGATTGGCGACGTGTGTCGGAAGAAGGCAGTCTTGGGTGGCTGACGGTGCATCTTTGCCTGGAAGGTCACTGCAAACGGTTTGCCTGGGTCCACGGTTGGCACGGCTTACAGCGACCCTCACATCGGTACACCTTCCTGTGTACTGCTTTCGTACACTTGCTTGAGGTCGCACGCGAACGTGGTAATGTAATCCATGTTCTCCAACTGGGGCATGCGACGGTGTCCAGTGTACACCCACTGCCCTCAGAACACTTGCCTTGTCTTCCTCCACTCGGTTCTGGATATTGTATATCCTTGGTGGTATCACCCACTGCCAGACGGAAAACACGTTCCCTGCGATAACTGCAACCAGGGTGCAGCTTGGACGAAAGCAAAGCGGTCAAGCCGAAAATGGTGGCACTGCGACGGCAGAGCATTCATTCAGCAGTTTTGTTCTGCTTCTGAAAGAGGTGGCTTCTGATTCAGACTTTGCTGCCGCATGCCCATTGTGATGGTGTTGTAAGGTGGCGCATTGGCACGTCGCTTGCACGTCCGCCGCCAACAGTCGTGTGCATGCGACAGCAGTACTAGTGACATGAGCAGAAGTAGCTCAAAGGAGGACGAGCATCAGGAGGAGTACCTGGAATAGGAGCGGTAACAGCAGTAGTAGTACTAGTAGTATTGGCAGCAGCAGCAGCAGCAGCAGCAGGAGTATAGGAGCAGGAGTGGGAGTGGGAGTGGAAACAAGAGTAGTAGTCGTCGTCGTGGTGGTGGTGGTCGTGGCGGTGGTAGTAGCAGTAGCAGCAGCAGGCGCAGTAGTAGTAGTAGTAGTAGTAGCAGCAGCTGCAGCAATACTAGTAGTAGTAGCAGTAGTAGTAGCAGCAGCTGCAGCAATACTAGTAGTAGTAGCAGTAGTAGTAGTAGTAGTAGTAGTAGTAGTAGTAGTGGTGGTAGTAGTAGTAGTAGTAGTAGTCGTAGCAGTAGTAGCAGTAGTTAGTGATAGTAGTGGCAGTAGTGGTAATAGTGGTAGTAGTGCTAATTGTGATAGTAGTGGTACAGTAGTAGTGGTAGTAGTTGTAGTAGTTGTAGTAGTGGTAGTAGTTGGAGTAGTGGTAGCAGTACGTAGTACGTAGCGCTACTGCGTAGTCATGATAGCAGCAGTAGTAGTAGTAGTAGTAGTAGTAGTAGTAGTAGTAGTAGGTGGTGGAGGTTGGAGAGACGACTGGTTCAATGCCTGGGGTCGCGATGGAGCTGATGGTTTCGGTGGCTCTAGCGCGGAGCTGCGCGAGATGCGGAAGGTCATTGGCATGATGCAGAAGTTGATCCTCAGGCATGAAGACTCCATTAACATTTTGAAGCTGGAGTACAGCTTTGTTGCGCACATGCGGCTCAATGTTCCGTCAGGGGTGGCTACCACGCTCTATGTGGCAGCTGATGGATGGAGGAAGCTCAAAGCCTCGGAGCCTACCAAGCTGGACAGGCCTATGCGCACCTCTCTCTTTGTGTGCTTCCTTGCGGAGTTGAAGTCGCGGCTGACGGGACTCGATGAGCGTCCAGATGATGCTGCTAGGATGGAGCAAATGGGGTGGATTGCGACGGGTCCGCCGAGAGCCTGGCACTTCCTCAAATGGGATGGTGCAGCGCAGCGTACCGTTGTGGATCAGAGTAAGCCGGCTCTGACGCAAGCGGAGGTTCTGGAGCACATCGACATCCTGCTGAAGTGTGCAGTCGTTGGTAATGCCCTCACTCGCTTTCATCCAACGCGTCCTCTTGCAGAGGACATGCAAGGGGAAAGCTTGGCTTTCTTGGTCCAGGTTGGAACCATGGGGGAGGCCTCTTTGAGTATGCGGCTGAGTTTGAAAGCATTGTGCCACAATGCAGCGCTTCAGTTGGTCGCGACGCAGCTAAAGGAGGATAAGCTCATGCGCTCCACCCTGGCCAATAACATTGCATCTTCCATTCGAAACTGACACCGCAGATGGCTGTGGAGGCTGTGGCGTCTGATCGGGCTTAGCTGCGATACTCCTTGTTCCCGGGAACCTCCTCGTCCATGGCAATGATCGGCAGGCTTGCACTGGATGCTACTTTTGTGGAGGCAATAGACCTCTGGTGTTGATGGTTGATGGTGGTCTGCTTGGCAGCTCGCTGCGAGATCATCGCATTCAATGCTTAATTCCGTGGTAGGGCCGGTCTCAAGGTGAAGAGCCATCATTGGGACTTTTTGGTCACTATGCGATCATTGAGGTATGGCGAGGAAGTGCAAAAGCGATGCATTGTGTGACAGCCCTTGCAAAAATGCCTCACTTTGAACGTCTGCCGACTCAGGTCATACAGGATGGGATTGGTTGTGACTTCACCGACATCACCGACTTCATTGTCTGCGTTACCTTTCGAGCCTTTGCTATGCTTTATGTTGCTTGGTAGTGAAGGACGTGGCGCTTGTGCTTATTGCAGACACCAGACATGTATCGCTTGGGATGTGCATGTGTGGGCTCCAGTACTTTGAAGTTACGTGGGTGAGCTAATTCTGTGCTGTGCTTCGCTTTCCACTGATGGCGAGTTCCTCTCGCCGCTCGGCAGATGCGGGTGAGTCGGATGATGCAGCTGATTACTCAATGTCGGAAACTTCTGATGAACGAGTGCTCCATGCTGCTATGCCCGGTCCGGCTGTAATCTCGCATGCTTGCGTCGGTGGAGTTTTCATGGTTGGTGCCACTCCTCTCAACTCGTATGAGGAGGATCTGAAATACGACTACTTTTGCAGAGGCATCTACCTTATCAGAGGAGTGCGCCTTGATGGATTGTGTGTGCCAGGAATATGTCCATGTGAGGCACTTGCCTTTGGTATGATTTCTAGTGGTCAGGCCAATTGGGATCAGATCCAGCGGCTGCTCGACATGCTGCCAGGTGATAGTCGCGAAAGGTGGAAGCAGGATGAGCCTTCCTCCTTGACTCTGCCCCCGAAGAGGTTTACCATCGGGGCATACAATTTTGGCAACATGGCAGGTGTCACTACGCATTCGCGCAGGTTTCCATGGGTTGGACGGGCTTTGTCAGGGATTGTGCGCACGTGGTGCTCTCAGCTTCACTTCTCCACATGCACGCTCTCGTTGAACACAACTGCTCGACCACATACTGACGCACGCAACCTCAGAGGATCTTGTAACCTCTCGCTACCTTGTTCTCGTTTTACTGGGGGCGAGATTTTCTTGGAGGACGCTGCCGGCCTGAGTCAGCTATCTGAGCAAGGTCCACGAGGGCATATCATCTCAGCACAGGAAGCCATCCAGTTTGAGCCGCACAAGGTTCATGCTACGTTGCCGTGGGCAGGTGCGCGACTTCTACTTTTGTCATATCACATCGGCCAGTTCAGAAACCTTGCGCCTGAAGACATGCAATATCTGACCATGCAGGGCTTTTGCGTTGTGCAGACTCCCTGAGGATGTGCATGCTGGTGCTGGCATATTGTAACTACTAGCGCTCAAAGCCGGGAAAATGTGATGCAGCTCTGACTCCTTGAGGGCGTCATCGCATGAGGTGCCATCACTTTTCTTTTCTCGTAGACGGCGAATGCTGGACTGAGGTTATGATGGCTGTTTTTCGGGACTCGCGATGTGACTGATGGGCCTTGAACCTGTGATATGAAGTTTGAGCTATGCTGAAAGGTCAGTGTGGAAACCTGCCTTAGAGCTGCTTCTTGCCTCGATTGTACAGTTGTTAATGTAAATGTCTGCCTCGTGCGCATGCTGTGTAGCGAAGCTGCTGAGCCTCGGCTCGGGCTGTCTGGCATGCTGGATCTGCGGATCGATGCTGGCGCTGCGCAGCTCTCTTTATTGGGATGTCATAGACATCGCTGCTTCGGTAGCCGGGCCATGCTCGCCGACTCGCTAGGTGGACCCCGGACGTTCGCCGCGAATGGAAGGAAGGAAGTAGTAGTAGTAGTGGCAGCAGCAGCAGTAGCAGCAGTAGTCGTCGTAGTAGCAGTTTAAGCATTTAAGCAGTAGTAACAGTAGTAGCAGTAGCAGCAGTAGTAGCAGTGGCAGCAGTAGTAGTGGTTGTTGTCGGAGGGCCATAAACCGATTCGCGCATTCCACAGGCCGGACTCGCGCAATCCAACAGTGAGTCGTGCACACCGGAGTCGGGTCTGAAAACCAGAAGCCAAGACTGACGCCTATGAAGCCGTACAAACCCTTCCAACTCAACATCACATCCTTCAAGACTTGGAAACACCAAACCCTCACAAAAGCTACGAAGACCGTTGTAGAAAAATAACCCCTCAAATGAAAACAATGTCAACGATTCATTTTATGTTAAACAAGCCACACCTACTGTTGCGATACTGAACATGCCAGCAATCCTCAACTCCACGATGCGAAAGCCGTACGGCATAAACCTCAAAACGCTAAACACTCAGTACATTTCATATACTGTACTGAACCCAGGACCTAAACCCTAAAGCCTGCCCGGCTATACACCAAAACCCTACAAACCCCCTACAGCGCCTGTTTCAGTTCCTACCAACATGTTGCTTGGATTGGCTGTGCTTGAATCGAGGGTGCTTGAAGCCCTTGCTCGAAGCACGCATGGTTTCGAATCGGGCGATCGTAACCATTGTAGGGGTGGTGATTGCCAAAGCGGTCATGGTAGCGAAGTACACTGCAAGCAGCAAGCCGGGCCTTTGCGCTTTGGTCATGGTATCGTCCCAAGCACCTGGGCTACAAGTTCTGCCACTGACAGCGCCGACAGGCCAGCCAGCCTTGTGTGTCCATCAGGAGCACAGCGATCTTTCGGCCGTCCTCGCTTCAACCGTAAAGCTTCTCTGAGAGAGCATCATGCTTCCGACGACGCAGATCCTGATCGCGGAAGACAAACGGAGAGCTCCAAAGCCAGATCCCTTGCGTACACCTCGGCGCGCCAGCATAACAACGATGATTGGAGTATTCGTGATGATGAACCTACGTTCGCAACATCCGGCACTTTAGCCTGAGGCTGGCGCTTGTCCTTGCCGGGACGCCAGGCAAAGCCAGCGCAAGCATCATCCAACTTCGAACCCTGACCAACCAGCACTGACTGGACTATGGGTCTTCGGGAAAACCCATAGTTCTCAATCTGCACAGAAACTCTCAAGGCGATGGAGATGAGACGAGGTGCGCAGGAAAAGCAAGAAATGCCACTGTCAACTGAGCGGATAACGAGTGGCTAGAGTCTAGACAATTTGAACAACAACCACGAGCTGGCACGAGAAAGCTTATTTGCTTGGCTGGGACGTTCGATCCAGCAAATGATGGACACGTGTTGAAGAAGCCTCGTGGATGCGGGCCGGATCGCCTTCCAGCACCTGCTGAGAGACTCACAGGAAGCAAGTTGCACAGGCGGCACACCCCGCCGACGGATCTAAGGTCTCTGATCGGGGGAGCACCCAATCCGGGGGTCTGCTCTTCTTCCGGTCATCCTCGCCAGCACGATCATTGACAATTGCGAAATATCACAGAGTACGTCTGCGCGTCCTCTCCGAAACGCCAACCATCATCTGCTGGTGCAGAAACCGGCTCTCCTAAGCTAATGTCACTCAGAATCTTTGATTAGGCATGCAAGTTAAGCTATTTCGGCTGCCATGGCGACCGTGCGAGTTTTTTCATGCCTGGCAACCAGTCTGCGAGAAACTCCAACAAAGGAGCGTTAGCCCCTAAGTGGCCTTGAGGCATATCGGATGCGTTGGCAATTTTCCTCAAGGTTTGTGGTGGGCACTGCTGGACAAGAACATTCCTGACAGACCCAAACACAACGCATCCGAACTACTTCCATGCAGGAGCAGTCACACCTTACTGTTCTGAAAGAGTCTTCGCGTGTGCCTGTGCGAGGAGTCCTCCCAGATGTGTTGCAACAGCCGCTTAGGTGTGAGGAAGTGGTGGAATCTCGTCCCATGTTTGAAGACAGTATCCACCCTTCGCTGCATCAGTCTAGGATGCACGGCGCAGGTATGCACCTAAATGAAATCTGATACGACACGGGCAAAATCCCGCAGTCGAAGCGAATGGGCTCTTCAAATATCAATCCCGCAGATCCAAGATGCTCTCTCAGGATTCCATAGGTAGCAGCTTGGATTTGCCGGATATCACAGCTGGCCCAGGCAAGAGTTATGCAGAATTGACAAAGATTCCAGAATGGAACCTTTCTGGAAGGTCTGCAACTCTGCAACGATCACAAAGTTAGGAAATTCAAACCGCTGCCAGTGGAGGATCCTGTCGCGACAAGGAGACGCAAAGTGCACAAGGTGAAGGCTTCTGTCACTTCTGTCTGAGTCTGTCCAGTTGCATCAAATAGTCGTCGTCGGCTGCCCGTCTGCGTAGCGTTCTTCTTCGGAGCCTGGGGAGCATCAAGTCAGCACACAGCAAGCTCAGCACACAAGCCATCGATGAGAATGGCATTAGGCTTCTAGCAGGCCGCACACGCCAGCTACCGCCAACAGACCCGCAAGCAGGGGCGAAGCCTCGGAAAGCTCTCACGCTCAGACCTGGCATCTGGATCACTGACTTCCTGAGCAAGCAGCTGACATGAGCTTGGAGCCAAAGCTGCGCGCCTTCGCTTTGGAGCTGCGCAGACAGGTCACGTCCGTTTTCACTTCAACGCTGAGACGGCAACCGTCTCTGCCAAGGCAGCAGGCTGAGCAGGCTGAGGCTGAGCAGCCTTCCCGTGCAGGACCCCCGAAGGCTCGCAGCATCTTCAGACGCAAGCTCGGCTAAGCTCCACTGGCCTGGCTCCGCTGCTTCTGTTCCGCCTGCACCCAACTTTCGATACTCTTAGCTTGCGGGCGGCTGAAGTCGAGAGAGAGGGAGAGACAGAGAGAGACAGAGAGACAGAGAGGCAGAGAGGCAGAGAGGCAAAGAGGCAAAGAGGCAGAGAGGTGTCCTTTGCTACCGATGCTTGGTCTAGGATGCAGAACGAGCAGCATGAGCACGGATGCCCGCCTGGAGCTCTGCCTGAAGGTGCTCCTGTCGGATCTGCGCAAGTCTTGAAGATGCTTGGCCGCTGCCTCCAAACGGCTTCCCGGCCTTCTCCTCCTGACGCTGCTCACGTTCCTTTTTCAGCTCGCTGCTGAGGCGCTCCTGGCAAAATGTCATTGAAACCATGAGAGACGACAATCAACGTGGTCGAACACGGCATGTGCACATTCGCAGCACTGGGCGTGCTTTGGCTTCCTTCTCCGCTTGCAGCTCCGCATGAAGAGCCTGCTGCTCCTGCAAGAACAGGCTGTTCTACCATCTTTTCATCTAAGCAACCTATTCCTCTCTCGGACACTGGGTCTCTGCATTCCTTGACCATCGTCCGGGACTAGCACTCTAGGAGACTGCACACTTTCATGTTGTCCGCTCCGAATAACTTGCCTCTGACTTGGAGCTTCCGAGCTGAGCTCAGATCAGAGTGTTAGAGTCTGAGTCTGATAGAGTTGCAGAGTGCAACGTCTTGAAATCGCCACTCGCTGTCTCTTCGAGACCGCGCCGTGCCGACGAACTGCCTCCAATGTATTGCTCAAAAGCCACTGGCCTCCTCGCATGGTTTCTTGTGAAGAACCGGCTAGATGCACTCCGAGCTAGCGCACGGCTTGGTCTATATGTCCGGGATGACCGCACCATTGGCCACCAACGCATGGGGCCAGCATTAAGTCGCAGTCATGCTAGACAGTTGCATTGCAATTCCAGCGTGGCTGCGGGAAGACGGGGTGAGAAAAAGCGCAGGACACCGACTCGAGGTCTCAGGTAGCCTGGGAGCCCAATTGGCTAGGCCTGAGGCGGCGAGCCCAGAGTTAGCTCCGCAGAGTAGGCAGGTCTACAGGCTGGCCTTCGAAGCTCCACGATACCTTCCGTGTTTAGATCCTGAGCCGGTCAAGTCGCCGACCACTGCAAAAACTTCAGCAAGATCGAACTGAGGGCAAGGCATTGTTTTTTATCCTCAATTGCTGGACTGTGTCGAGAAGTTGCCTGCCTCCTCGCCACTCTTTGCCAGCCTGCAGCGGCGACAGGCAATGCCTCTGCTTTAAGTTTGGGGTGAGCAACCCACAAATGCTACCGCCACAGTTGAGAGTCTCACCTTTTTGATAGCCTGCACAATGGGCGAGACATTCAGCTGGTACTGGTAGTCGCCACCTTGTCGGATGCAGCCATCACAAGACTGTCTGACAACACAAAGCTTACTACGTGGCCCGGTGCACCGGACCTACCTGCTGGCTGCGGCTTCTGCATCGCTCTAGACTTGACGACGGTCGTTTCGAACAGTTGTTTGCAGCCTCGTTCAGCTAGTGGGCTCCGTTTGCTCCAGTCTGAAATTCCCCGTTCTTTGTCCCTCTTGCTTTCCATCACTCACCTAGATGAGGTCTAAGAGCACAAGGAAGCGGAAGCGCTGCCAGGTGTGCTCCGGCTGCTCAGGATCTCAGCTGGATCGACGAACGCGAGGCGCAGTCCGAAGGGTCGCTCCGTGCATGCAAAAAGCTTGGATTACGCATCACACTGGGCATGGAAGCTGCGCCGAATTGCAACTTCGAGTGCGAAATTGCGAAGACATGTCGGCAACAGTTCCCGACTTCACACACAGGCTTCCCAAGATTGTGAGGCCACAAATTTGTTATGAATGGCAACGTGTTGGCGTGAAACGAGCTTGAGAAAATCGTGAGCGACCCTTACCGGTGAAAGGCCACAGAAGGGGTTAGACTCTTCGGGGCGACCGTGAAGAAACCGTGAGCACAGCCAGCACAAAAACGTTTCAATACTTCGGCTGCACCTGCAGGGATACCAAAACGCTCGATTTGATACGATACATGGGTGAATCGGGATCGTTCAGAAGTGAATCGCGGTTCGACCCCGGATTACCTGGCCGTTGGACCATCGACCGTGGTTTCTAAGCCGATTTATTTCGTGTTTTAGCAGGCAAAGTCACAGCGCTGAACAGACCCGGGCCGTTGCTGCAAGAGAGCGAGAGAGACCAAGCCCCCAGCCCTAGAATCTGGGAACAAGCGCAAGACACAGCCGGAAATCCAGAAGCCCGGTGGCTGCTTGCAGATGCGGCAACACGACTGGGGCAACCACTCTTCGCCAGAATCAAAGTTCTCCTGGCCGTCCTGCAGGATTTGCCCGGTATTAACGCCAAGGAGTTACCTTGCCAGGACGAAGTGACACTGCTCCGCCTGTAGACGAGGTCTATGGCATTCAAGGCAGAAGCCATGTTCTCGCCAGACCTCACGAAGGAAGTGCAGCTTCGATGGCGTGCGGCTTAGAGTAACAAATGTCATACCACCAAGGCCGCTGCGCGTCTGCCATATCGTCACCCAGTCCCATCCTGTCAAATCTTCGTGATCACGAGGCAGGGAACATGTTGCACATTGCATCCCGAGGTCCTGAGCATATCGGGACCATAGTATAGCCTCAGTCATTCGCACAGATTGCTCAGATTTCGTCAGGTTGACCTGGTCACGAGCCAAGTGCATTATCTGTGGTCCGACAGGGCTTCCAGCTAGCTCCTGGCCACAAGCGCAAGTGTCACTGAAAATGCAAAGGCAGGGCAGGGCTCAGGGACCCTCAGAGACCCTCCTGCACTAACGGATGGAATTCATCCAAGAGCAACTCAGAGACCTGGCGAACACGACTCAACACAAGCCGCCCCCTTTCAGTCACAAGCCGCCAGAAGCCGTCGCCTTCTCCGGGTTCTTGTAAGTGTTTCGGGTCAAAGCCAGAACACGCAGAACCGCAAGTCCGGTTTCATGGCAGAACACCTGTGGAGGAAGGACCGAGCAATGTAGTTCTCACTAAACAAAACCGGGCGACACGAGTCAGAGTGGTTTCGAGGCACCTTGCTTTCGCACATCGTGGCGAATTTTGCCTGCCAATGGCTCAAGAAGTGCGATGTGCACCGTATGCACAGCTACACCTCCTGCCTCAAAGTCGGGATACGCCTTCTTGAAATTTGTGTACAAGAAATTAAAATAAAGGGTCCTCGGAGCTTCGCTTGTATCGGACCTTCAGCCTGCCTTTTCAACGCTGAGCTTTGCTGCCCCGTGCATTTGCTGCGAGCATCCGATCATCAATCTTGGGATTGTCCACAAGCTTGGCGATGAGATCGTCCATTGCCTAAGGCACTTTCTGCTCGTGTCTTCTGCAGCATGAATAGGGATGTTTCCTCAGCGCGCCACGGCGGTGAAGCCCATGTAAACGGGCTGTATCGCTATGGGAAAGATGAACTTCTCGTTGCAGGCTGCGCCTAGCCCGGCCCCGGCAACTCACACTTCCAACTCGCCAATGCTGGGACACTGCGTGCACGGCTGGAGCCTGCAATATCAAAAATGGAATGATAGAAATAGTAGTGCAAAGTGCCTGCCATCAGACCAGATGCCAAACAGTAAGTCACTGGTGCATATGCTGTAGGACACAAAGCAGGTTGAGCAGCTCGCCATTCATCAAGTGCTTCCGGTCCAGGTCCAGCAAGCCCTTGAAGTTTATGCAAGCTATTTCTCCTGAGAGGTGCCGCGAGCACGGAACGCTACCGACATGGTGTTTTTGGCTATGCAGCGGGTCCTTGGCCTAGCTGCGGCAGCTGAAAATTGGTGGCGAAACCTGCCAGCATTCGGGAATAGGCAAAAAGGTTGTTCCTCGTGTGAGAGACTAATGAAACAAAACATGATTGCCTGCCTGCCAATATGGACTCCTGCCGGGATGGCGTGAGTTTCGCAACCTTGGAGAACGAGGCAGTGCTCTGATTGTCACTTGTGCTTCTTAGGCGGGAGCAACCTCTCAGCAGTGCCTTCCAAACCGAAGATGCCAAGAAACAGTCGGCAGCAGCTTCCTGTCGGAGTAATAAAACATGTGGCATGCCCAGAATTGCTTGCGACATGGTTTGACGAGCACAGGGGATTTGCACAATCACACGAGGGGATCTCCTTCGACTCTGAAGCATAAAATTCGATCCTCACCTTAAACTGTTAAAACTCTCAAACCCTAATGCGTGAATGCGATCTGAAACCCTGAAAGCTTTGGTTTCAACATCGGTGCTTCGTGATTCACGGCGTGCCTGAGTTCTGCAATCACAGCTGCTCTTGGATTGGCTTTGCTCTTCGCGGCCGCTTCTTGAGTCGACATGCTCGAACCGGACTGTGTAAGATGACGTAGACATCTCATTGGACAGCTGACTGTCAAGACATGATTCGGCAAGTGAACTGGCAAGCCATGGTCTTGGGCGTTTGGCCTCTTCAGCTCTGGATCTCCCAGTGCACACGCAAGCGACCGATCATGGTCGTCTGAGCCTTGCTTGGCTTACGAATTCTGCACGTCCCATTGCCCCCAAGCCATGTTCACAGAGTTCCGGACGCATGTCGAACGGGAGGGAATCGTTGACTACCTGCCCATGGTGTCTCCCATTTTTGGAGCGCCGACCGCACGCAGGCCCATGACCGCTAGCAGCAGCGTTTGGCGCCAGCCTTCCGAAACCCGTCGTTCTTGCCGACGTCATGAACGACGAGGAAGACCTCATGCCAAGGCCAGCACTGGGCCGTGAACTGCAGCGCTGGTGCCCTTGCTCGGGCTGGCCCGATCAAGCACTTCAAGTCTCGCCTGAGCCTCCAACCAACATTCCCCACCAGTCATCTTCACATGTCATGTGAGCTGCAAACTTTCGGCAGAACTCTTTGTAGTCATCCTTCTTGTTTCCCATGTTAATGAATTTTCCTGGAACCTGGCACAAACAGAGTCGAAGAAAGCCGAGAACGCTTTACGGAACAAAGATGCGAACTGTCGCATGATATTTCCGATAATCACCCGTCCTTGTCCATACTCATAATTCCGCGCTCGCCGGCGGACACACATTCGAGGCCGAAGTCTTCCTCCGGGAGATCTCAAGTCAGCTGCCACACCGTGCCTGAGGCATCTTTATCTTGAAGCCTGCCCCGGCCCGGGAGGTCCTCCATAAAGGAGGAATAACATGCCAGCAATGCAATGATGGCCCCGACTGTTCCTTGAGACTCGATGGATTGCACTGCGGGTACCGATTCCAGCTTAAATTAGCTTCCATCGTGCACTCTATCCAAGCCAGAGAGCGATAGTACTCTGTCGGGCTGCCCGAAATCTCCTGCAACCAAAAACTAACGGACACAGATCTCGCTCTTTATGGACTCGGCACGGCTCCTCCACTCCAGGACTTGTCTGAATTCTGCCCTGCTTGTAGATGCCCAGTTCCGGAAAGGTGTCATCGAGCTCTTTCAGGAAGTCCTCAAAGGAACAGCTCGGCTAAAGTGCACTTCCGGTAGTCATGCGACCCTTGCCGTAGGCCTAAGGCCTAGGGCCTGGAAGAAAGCGGCTGGCCTTGTTCTGGACTGCATCTGGAGCTGCTGCAACACCACCGCCGGCTTTTAGGAGATCCACCAAAGGCTTGATCTGGCCCACGGCACTGCTTGTTTGTACATATGGCTAGAGCGACAAAGCACGGCCAGCCCCTGCCTTCCGTCCTGAATCCTCGATGGGAACATCCCGGCAACCTATGGCTGGTACTGACATGATTTCGTCCGATCAGACCGAGGCTTTCGGAAGAGAGAGAGCTCTTCCTGCATTCTCTACGGGGCTTCTTCTCCGGTGTCATTGCTTCTGTAAGAACACATCCGATGTCAGTGTCCAAGCACGACACAAGTTGCTTGCACTTCCGACCGCTGGCGCCGGCATGTTGTGGCATGTTGACCAAGGTATGCGCGTTTTTGCAGAACGACTTGCTGTGCCAGGACCGCTTCGCAAGCGAACGCATTGAGAAGACTTCGTCTCCGAAGCCTCGACTGCCTGTGCCTCCCGGCGCCTCCCAAAGCCTCATGCCCATCCTAACAAGGTCCCCTGCATGCAGCTCAAATCGGGCTGTCCGACATTGCAAACAAGACCTTGCTGGCAAACATTACCAACACAGGTGCCTTTGCTCTCTCAGGAAAGCACTGATGCATGCTTGGTTCCCCATCACGGTTGGGAGCGGCCTGGTCGCACTTATGCTGCATGTGCTGACTGCACCAGGAAACGGCCCGGAACGGCCTACTTCAAGAAGGTCTGCACACCTCGCAGCTCGCACAGCTTGCGCATGCTGGTAATCTTCAGACAAGTCGACACAATCACCAGTTCGCCTGCGGAGTAGCAGGACCTTCTTGTCGCGGCGAGGTATCGGAAGGCGGGACAGAGTACATGCTTCTCAAATGGCTGCACGAGAGCGGCAGATGCATCCGTCCTAGCTTCAACACCTTCAACTTCATCAAAGCTATGAACACCTTCTTCTCGCGGCAGCTCTAAGAAGGATATTTGCCCTTGCTCCTTCTGCAACTTCTCATTCTCCTGCTGCTCTTGCATTTGCTTGGGCACCGACCTTGGTGGCACAATCTCACAGCGTCGGAGCCCTGAGCATAGGAGCAGGCATGCTGTGCCCAGCACTCTGCGGCAGACGCATCTGAGGTGGCAAAAAGAGTTGGCCTGAGCAGGGAAGAGTCTGGTCGAGGAAGCAATGGAACTTTCCAGTTTATGGTCAGCACGCACTTGGCGCAGATGCAGACGGCTGGTCCTGCAAATGAGTTGTGCCGACTCAGTACCGACTTCACACAGGCTCTCACCTGCATGTACTTCTGGTAATTGCCCGCATACTGGGCGATGTACTTCCTTGGCACGTTGCAAGGATGCTTCACGTGATGGGTACAAGTCGTTCGCATCAAGTTCGAACCTTACTGTTCACATGCGTCGGCCAGCACAAAGAAAGAAAACTGATGCTTGTGTCCGAAGTCCGTGTTGGAGCCAAGAAGCAAGGCGAAATTTCGAAACGAACGAAGAATGAAAGAACAACCAAGACTCTGGAAGTTTCCCGACTTGCCTTTGGCATCCGCAGCTGAATCACCGCGTTCTTGCCTCATCAGAGGTCATCTCATTGTTGCCCCCAATGGATCACGGCTCCCAAATTAAACCAATTAAACGTTGCAGTCTGAGGAAGAAATGCATCTGGTCTTCGAATCGAACTCGCGTGAGAAGAGCTGACGGGTGGTTGAAACAGAGATGCCTATCAACCTGTGCTGCACGAGCCCTGACGAATCCCCAAATCACCCCTTCCAAAAGCCTTTGCATCACACGCAGGACGTGCTGCAAATTATCCATGTCCGGCAGCGACTGTGCCTGCCAAGTCACACATACTTGGAGTAGTCATCGGCATAGCCTTTCATGTAGTGCTGGAAGCCAGCAGCCTCCTGCTTGCCTTTGTTCTGTTCATAATTCTGGTAATCACTGAAGTACTTGCCAAAGTCCCCAGCTGCTTGGCTTCCCCTGGCGTGCATGTACTTGTGAAAGGAATCTGTGTAATTTCCCATGAAGGCTTGGAAGCCCTGCGGAGCGCCCTGGCCATGAGTGGTTAAGTACTGCTGGTAGTCTGCATGATTTCCCATGAAGCTGTTGAGATCCGGCTGAGTGCCTGCGAACACGACCGGCGATGTGTCGTTGGCGCTGTCGGAAGCTGACTTCTGCTGGGCCGCTGGACTGCCATGCTCCCCGCGGCCCGCGCGGCCGCTGTGCCCTTCCTTGTCGGAGGCAAACTTAGACGTGTACCTCGAAAAATCTGGAGTGTGCGAAGATTGACCGTGCATATATTGCTGATAGTCCATATATTTCTTGAAATCGCCAGTGCCAACTGAGCTCTGCCCCATGTAAGCATTTGCATACTGATCCATGAACTTGGAATAATCTTGGCCTCCTAGGCCTTGGCTCTGCACATATTGGGACATGTAGTCTCCTCCCGAGCCGCCTTGGCCTTGCATATACTTCTGATAATCCGCATAATCTTTCATGTACTTGGAGAAGCCTCCTTGCGAGCCTTGTGCTTTGGAACCCTGCCCTGCGTACTTGGAATAATCACCCGACTCGGCCATGAACTTGGAGAAATCACCTTCTAGACTAAAGCTGATCTCAAAATATTCTAGAAAAAGACATAAACCAAGACTTACCTAAACCATCCTTAATGACCGGCTGGAGGAACGGCCCAAGGCTGGGGAGTCTGTTGAATTCAGTGGCTCTCTGCACTCATTCGTGTTGAGTTAACTTGTAGAGTTCTGTTGTTTACAGTTGGCAGATCTCTCGCCTCCTTGGTCACTGTACTTCTGGAAATCCATGTACTTCTGGTACCCACCACCACCTTGCGAACCCCGTTGCTGCATGTACTGCTGGTAGTACTTCGAGAAATCATCTCCGGAGGACCCTTGCCCTTGCATGTACTTCTGGAAGTCTGCATATCCGTCCATGTACTTGGAGAAAGATGCACCACCTGCGTCACAGCCCTGGTTCAACAAGGCATGCGCCATGATGCATGCAAATGGGTGGTGCGGGTCTTCTCAGCAGCACATTAGTTTGGTTCCACCTGTGCCTACAGTTTCCTAAGCAAGGCTGACTACAATGACGAAGGTATGCTGTAGCTACGATTTGTGCGTTGACACATGGCCAGGGGCTACCACGACGTCTTTCATTTCTGAGCTTTCGTTCCTAATGCTTAACATGCTGGGCTCGACCACGGACACCACTGGCATCAGGCTGCACTGCGATATCATCTCCTGCCTTGCGGAGCCGTTCCCCCGTGCATATACTTCGTGAAATCCATGAACTGCTGAGAATCGCCTCCGCCTTGAGATCCCGGGCTTCCGCCTGGGGCCTGGCTCTGCATGTAATGCTGGTAGCCAGCATACTGATTCATGAACTTTGAAAAGTCTCCAGCTTGAGCGCCCTGGGCACGATTCTTTTGGTAGTCTGCCGCATACTGATTCATGTAATGCGAGAAGTCGCTGGGTCTGCTTGCTGCCCCCTGGCCCTGAAGATATCTCTGAAAGTCCATGTAGGAAGGTTTCTGGCCACTCCCCCGATCGGAGCTTGCCAAGGCCACGGGGGTCGAAGGCTTCCGAGCTTCTTCTGTCTCTGCCTTGCTTGCGGCCTTATCTCCGGACATGAACTTCCCTGCATACTGGCCAAGGAACGACTCGTATCCATCCCCCGAATGCCCTCCATTCATGTACTTGGTGTAGTCCCCATACTGCTGCATGTACTTTTGATAGTATTTTGTAAATCCAGATCCGCCTGCAGATCCACCGCTGCCGATGTACTTCTCATAATCACCGGCGTACTGGTCCAAATACCTTTGATAATCTCCGCCGGCCTGAGGCAGTACATGTCAAGAAACTACGCAGGAGTTGCTGCTGGCCTCAAGGTCATGCATCGTGTCAGAAAGCTGCTCGAACAGGGCAAATGGTTCGAGTAACTAATCACGAGCGTTGCGGCCCGAACCCGCTGAACAGCATGTGCCTGTTGCTGAGCAAGCGCAGCTGGAAGAAGCCAGATCAAAACAGCAAAAGCTGCCATGACCTGCAGTAGAAAGTCAAACAAACCAAACGATGTCGATGACCTACCATTCGGCTAAACAGAATCTGGGTCTAATCAGCAAAGCCACTCGCTGCGAAGAGCACCAAGCCAGCGGCGTGCAATCGCCCGTGCGGGCGCGAATATCTACACTGCGCAGCCGATAACTACAGCCAACAGTCGAACAGCATGTGTGATTGACAACGAAACAAAGCAGGTAGGAAGATGCTTCCAGTTGGGCTTCACACGCTGAGCAGGCAACGCTGCTACCTTCGGCAGGAGACGCACCACCGCTAGTGGCAAGCATGCCTACACTCACAAGCCATCGTGTCGCGTCACTCTTCAACAAATTAGGGCTGACACCTGAGAAGGGTCTTGAGTCAAAGCGTCAAGCTGCGCCTTCTCCAACGCCCGTTCCTGTGCGAGGTAACTTCTTCTGCTGCAGCATGGGAACTTTGAACTGAAAAATTTGATGCAATCCATGATCAAGGCCTTTGCAAGTTCCTTTGCCGCCTGCTTTTTCAGATACCGGGCCAACAGATCAAGCAGGAAGCTTTTGCCCGTACGATACCTGCACAGCGCAAGACAAAAACTTGTACCATTCAGATGCATTAAATTCCGTGCAGCCGATGTACGTCCCCATCACCGCAATGATGGAGACATAACTGGCTCCGGATTCATTGAGCTTCGTGCCTCACATTGGAGCAGGTGAAGCTTTCTGCCGCACATGCGAGCCTTTAAGAATCGAGGAACTTATCTTGTCCAGATTTTCTTTGAGAATCTCCACCTCCGAAGACTCCTTGCTCGGTACTCGCATACTTCGAACACACCGTGGTCAGCAACGTCACCCAAGCTCGCCACGGGCTTCAATTCCAGAATCTTGACGGGGGCATTATCTGCTCCTGCTCGAAGTTTGCACGATGCAAAACATTCCCACCAAGAATGGAAACATCACAACTCGTCATGCAGATTTCAGTCCTTTCATGTTTCACTTGCCCAAATCCATAAATCCATCTGGGTTGTGCTACTGTTAGGGCGGAAGCATCCAAGCTTGAACCTGGCCACACAAATGAGCCCTTCGATGCAAGTATTGAATTACGAAATCTATGACACACAATCGTGGGACAAGAAATTCCGTGCTTCAAGAGGGAAACACCTTGTCGAAAAGCTGGATGCTAAGGGAACCAGCTAATGTGTTGCAAAACTACGTTAGGCCTTCATCCATGCACTCTACAGCATCCATCGGGAAAGTTTTAGCATTTGATTCTTCTCGAATGTTTGAGGACAGACGTCTGAAGGCACTGCGGCCACGAAACAAACGGCAAACCTTAGCTTCTTGCCGCATGAAACGTGGAGTGGGATGAGTCGGAACAAAACGCCTTGTGTTGAGACAGAGGAAACACTCCAGTACAGAAAGACCGAGTGACAATTGCCACTTCTGCGAATGTGCCACAACCGTTGGAAAACCTACCATCAGAAATAGATTGCCAAAAACGCAGAGCATGGTTAAGTGTCAGTCCGCTGCAACACGTCCACATATGAAGAGCAATGCATATGACAAATATTTGATTGATGAAGATTTTGCCAGATATCTCGATGTATGTTTGTGCGTTTGTCAATTTAGTATTTAACACAACGAGTTGTAACAAATGAATTACGTGTAGAGATTGGAAAACAAATTGTTGTCCAAACCCAAAGTGTTGTTCATCAACGAAATCCATGAAAAAATACAAAAAATCTAAACTTATACATAAATATCATATATACCCTGCGCGTCTGCGCCTGTTGTAGAAAGCATCGAGCGAAAAAAAAACCGTCGATAGCACATCGACGGGATGGAGCAAGGGTCCGAAAGCAATGCCTGTGGACAACTGCAAACTCAAGAGAGTGCGCACTATGTCATCGTCTAACTTGACATCAAAGCGTCCAATGTCACCTTTGTGATATAATGCGGTGTTGTACCTTGTGACAAAATTTTCTTTTGCTGTTTAAACTAAGAGAACAACTCATGGCAAGGTCACGTAGCAGCTTCTTTTCACGCACATCTCTGAGCACAATTCTAGTGGCAGTATGCGGTGTGACGTGATGTAGTGCAGTCCCAACAAAAAGATTGTAGAACCGTAGAAGGTACAACATCCAGAGCCAATGAGTGTGTAGACAAGGTACATGCACGTTGATTGGCAGAAGCATGTGGCGCATGTGTATGATAATATGTGACCCGGGCTTTTGTAATACTGTGTGTATATATATATGTGTACACACACACACACACACGCACATGGATCTGCGTATGAGAAAGCGCATGCGAACATAGATGTAGTTCACATACACGTATCTAACTTACATTGAAAGGTTGTACAAGCATGCTGGCATGCTGTGCATGTTGTTTACTCCGTGTGTGTGTATGCTTCTGTACGTGTGCTGCAAGAATGAATTTCTATGTAAAGTGCCATACAAGCAACAACACAGGCTCTTTTATGCACGAATGTCTGTTTGCTTTGGTTTACCAAAACGTAATATCTTGCATAAATGCACGATGTATTCCAGTTACAACGGTTTTGAGCCTGCAAACAGGCTTACGCTCCAACATATGCAACACATTACCAAACATTTTCGTCTTTACAAACGAAACAACTGCGTACGAGGATACTGCTACTTCCTTCTCGTCCACCATGTCCTTGCTTCCAATCACGACAGCGACCAACATGGTGAAAGACCACAACATCACATTTACGGCGATTGCAGCAAGACAAACAAAAGTGGGATGTTTGCAGCTCTTGCCTGGTCGTGCATTGCAGATTTGCTCGACTCACCATGTGAGCTCAGGAACATGCACACATTTATTTGCACAAACTCACACAATGCTGAAACTCCAAGCTTGTACATCGTGGCGTTTCCTTCGGACTCTTTCCCTGCATTCGAACCCAGAGCTCGAACTTCATGCGAAAACTTGTGCTCGACACGCTCTCTGTCTGCAAAAGGATTGGAACTGTTTGACGCAAACTACTGACTATTTGCGATCCATGAAGCGTCACAAGGGCAAAAAAGTGTGAAGTTCAAAGTGGCATGGTATCTCATCATGACTCAGCACAACACAGCACATCAGTGATTCATCACTGATCACTGACTCGACTTAATCAATCAACATGAAGACATGCAGCCGGATCATGTCAAATCACATCCAACATTCTTAAGATTCAACATCATCAATGTCAAATCAAAATCAAAATCTCAGTCATGAGCCACGTCACACCATATCATCAAATCAATCAGAATCTTACATCAGCAATCATGCCATCGGACCAAGTCGTCAAACATCATGGCACCATGTCGTCTCTTTGGTTACATTATTTGATTCACATGTTCATGCACATTGGCAAATGATTTGGCCTTGAAGCAAATGCAAACCAAGCCACAAGTGTCTCTTCCTTGGCTCATTCCGGTTCCATTCCTGGACTTCGCACAACCGACCTGGACGAAGACGCCACGAATCTTTTCATACTCCAACGTGGCTGCCTTTCTCAAGGCAGTCACAGCTCAAGGAATCTTTCGGTTTTCTCAATGGAGAAGCCGAAAACTGGATTAAATTGAAACGAAGGTCACCGTCGGTCAAGCTCTAGGACCGAATGGAACTCGAGAAGGTGAAGTCGCTCAAGTGCTGGCTGTCGACGTGGACTTTTCTTCATGAGATTGGTAGAACAGACACTTCCACCTGGACTTGCGTTTTTGCGAAGTCCAGCAGAGAATCTGGCCTAGCTTAGCAACACTGTCGATCTGTGCCACTCTTGGAGAACTCGCCGCAACGCTTTGATGCTCACACAGAACCTGCACCAAGCCCGCCCCCGCCCAGTCGCGCAGAGCAAGTCTCCTCGGCAATCCTGCGGTTCGTGCGAAGCTGGCACCATGGCGGCACGGATAAGAAAAGAGACGATCCACACTGTCTTGTGCCAGAATCTGGCAGACTGCTCCAACGAATACTTATCCCAGCAAGGCCTATGAGCACGCCTCTCTTTGAACTTTTATCGTCATCGCAGAATATTATTCTTCCCGGATCTCTTATCTTGGACATTTTTGGGCATGAAGATAGAATCGAACATGTCTCCACCCACCAAGCAGCACAGCCTACACGAATTAACTACAACACGGGCGTAACGCTGTCAAAACTTTCCTCGAATTCCCTTTTGTTTTGGGGCCAGGTTTGAAATCTGGGTTCCCTTTTCAGAGAGAGAACACCAACATCCAGAGAACCCAGGTTGAACTTGGTTTCAACCTGGTTTGAATCTAGATTTTTTTTTTGGCTTGACTGGGCCTCGTCGACTGCGGCTGTGGCTCTCGGCCCTCAAACAAGCGAAACTACAATCCTAACTACAAACTGAACAAAGCGATGAACGGAAGGCAAGTTCAGGGCCTGCGATGCAAGGTGGACAACGGATCGTGCACCAAAATCCAAAAAAAGTCGAAGACTCACTGCGGGAAGCGGCTTCCAGACATGATGCAGTGGCCAAAGTCATCGCAACTGTCCAGCGAGCGAGTTGCAACATAGGTTTTTGGGGGGTGTTCGAACCCAAGGTTTGGAACTTAGAGTTCCGAACCCAGGGTTCTGGAACTCCGAACCAAGAGTTCGGAGCCTCGAACCCAGGGTTCGAACATCGAAGTTCCCTCCGAACCCTGGGTTCGAACTTTGAGTTGAACTCCAAGTTGAACTCAACTCCGAACTTGAACTGGAGTTGAACCTGGAGTTGAACTCTGAAAGGCGAAGAGTTTGAACCCAGGGTTTGAACATAGAGTTTCCGAACCCAGAGTTCGAACTCTGGCGGTCCTAAAGAGTTGAAACCCAGGTTTCGAACATTGAGTTTCCGAACCCAGAGTTCGAACATGGAGTTTCCGAACCCAGAGTTCGAACTCTTGTCTCATTGCTTCTTGTTCTCTCATTTTATTTTTTCGCAAAAACCCCATTAGCGATTTCGTGTGTCTTGCGGTTGAGTTTGTGGTTTCTGTCATTG